AAGGTAAATGGCAAATGTGATTCTATCTAAGTAGAGGTTATTGATATAAAAAGGTATAAAGTTATTGTATTTCACATCTGATTTAAAGCAGCATTTATGTATGTTCTTAATGAAGCAGTAAGTGCTTAACAAGGAGACCATTTTATTAATTCTGTAAATCTATACAGACTGCTTTAAAGTTAGATATGTCTGAGTCTCCCTTTAATTTGCTTTTAATGCCATAGCCACTGACCCTTTAAATCACAAGCCAATTACAGGCATTGTAAGTTCCAATACTAATTATGTACTGAGTATATAAATTTAGAATGGCATTTTAGTATTCAGTTCATAAGGAGAATGCAAGAAAAGTAAATTGCATATTTATTTGTTGGTGTGTCTCCTGCAAGGTACACCAACAAGATTAAGATGGAAATAACATTTATTACAGCAGAATTGTATGAAAAGTGTCTGAAACTTTCATCTGATAAGTACCAGTGAAGAAAAATGTGATACAAATTTATGGATAATAATAATGGACCACATCAAAAAAAATCTAGAGGTCCATATGCAATTACCCTCACTGGGAAAATTGCCCATTACAATGAATTTTGTGTCAAGAAATTATATCTGAAATTATAATACTGAAATAGTTTTCATTTTAAAAGGTTCACCCAGTGACACATAAATTGGTGTTCTGCAAAAAATATATATGAGTTTTTATTTCACATTTCCATCCCAAATGTTTTATTCCAAGAGCAACAAAGGAAGGACACATGCAACACCTTGCTGTACTCAAGTTCTTTTTGTTGAATTTATGAAGACATTGTGAATGTTGGTAGGTTCTTATTTTTAAAATGAACTAAATGAAACTCACAATCACCTGCATTAACTAAACGCAAGATGTACAGCCAATCTCAATATGAGAAAGTTGATGTAACCCTTGCCTGCTATGCAGCATTCAAAGACGAGGAGCCATGCCATTTATACACATGTAAAGAAGAAAGAGGAAGTGGTTGGGAGGAGCTAAGCATTGTGAAAGCTACAAGGTATGAGGGAATGGTAGTCTCTCTGCCCATTAGGCTCTACAAAGTGCTACTCAAAAAACTAACAACCCTCTAACTCCTTTTAGTTCTCCCAGAGCTTATCCCCTTCCAGCCACTTTCTCTTTTTCCCCTCACATAGTAGCTGCCAGAGTCTTCAATATCCACCTGGGTTTAACTGAAAACTCTTGTGAGAATTTTAATTTCTTGGGGAAAGACCCGAGAATTCTGCTGAGGAAATTCCTGGTTAATTTTGAAGGTTGAAATCCAAGAAATATATCAGTCTATATATATAGCCTGAATATATAGTCTAGAAGTGGATCAATGAATGCTTATACTAAAACAAATCTGTCAGTCTTCAAATGACACAACATTTTGTCTTTTACTTTTTTATTTGTCTTTAATTTTCATCATCTAGTGAATTAACTGGACTTATTAAGTTAACACATATTATATTATATTATATTATATTATATTATATTATATTATATTATATTATATTATATTATATTATATTATATTATATTATATTATAACCTGCCTTTCTCCCCATAGGGAACACAAGGTGGTTCACAAGAGATCAAACTATAAAACAAACAGTTTTAAAATTCTATATAAGTATAATATTAAAAACTAATTAAGCCTATATTAAAACCAAGACTAAAAACAATTTTAAAATGTTCAAAAATCTGTCAGTTAAAAAACAGCATTCCTAGAACATCCTACTGCTTAAAAGCCTGCATGAAGAAGAAGAAGGTCTTAGGTAGGGCCTATTGATTCAATAGGTTTACTCTAGTAAGAGTAAGGGCTTATTCATCATAATTATTTCTTCAAAAATGGGTAAGAAATCACCTTGCCAATCTGAGGCTGCAGTGTTAAGATCCCCAGGAAGATGTTTCAGAGACTAAAAGATAAATGTAAAGTTTCCCCTCCATGAGTGGAGAACCATTGTCAGTGAAGATCCTCCTTGAATGGCACTGAACGTTTGGTAATGGGAGTGATTTGGGGAGTTGAGAGTCAAAAAGGAGAGGTTGGAGGAGACAGTGGGAGGTGAATGTAGTGTTCTCTATTTATTTGATCTATAGTCTATGTTATATTATGTAATGGGTTCATGTTTGATATGTAATGGAATAGTTCATGCCTATTAATGTTGCTGAGAGGCGGAGCCGAGAGAGATGCTATAAAAGGCGGAGCCTGAGTCAGTCAGTCAGTAAGAGAAATGTAAGAGAGTCAGGCAGTCGAGATTAAGTCAGTAAGAATCAGAGAGAGTAACAGAGTGTGGAGTTTGGGAAATTCTGAGGAGTGATTAGTTACTGAAGATATTTATGAATCTCTGTAATCAATAAACCAAAGTTTTATTTAAAAGAACTTGAAGTGTGGACCTGAATCTTTCTGAAGTAATGGTCATTTAGAGATCACCTGGTGGCAGCAAGTGTAAAAGAAGAGAGTGAAATTAAAGTCCTCACAAGAGTTTTCAGTTAAACCCAGGTGGATATTGAAGACTCTGGCAGCTACTATGTGAGGGGAAAAAGAGAAAGTGGCTGGAAGGGGATAAGCTCTGAGAGAACTAAAAGGAGTTAGAGCTCTGAGGCCTGAAGGTCAAACAAAGGGGCATGAGGGTGGACGTCACAGTGAACAATCCCTTGTTGTCCCTTTCTCACACTGCCAAGCAAAGCCGGAAAATATACCAGCCTAAGAAGTGGCGCAATACATTTTCTCTCACTGGAAACAAGAGGGAGGAGGAGGACCTGTTGTGCACCCCAACCAGAGCAAGGCAGAAAGGCTAAGGAAGTAGTAATACCTCCACCGTATACCTTCTCGCCCTCACACTCATCACCACATAACTCTTCAGTTCATATTAGCAACACTCATCTGCTAAGGACTACTTCATACAGAGTTTTGGAGCACTAAACTCAAAAAAGCAATATTCTATGATGCAACATAGTCATTTAATATTGGATGCACACCTCAAACTGTATGTTCCAAGCATACAGTCTTGTGCAATGTACATTTTATTATAGTATTTTTTTAAAGGCTGGAAATCTCTTTGTCTAAGTGCAGTGTAACATTAAATAATAATCATGTGCCATCAAGTCAAAGCCTTTTCAGGGTTTTCCAGGTAGAGAATAGTCAGACCACACAGACTGACTCTATATGCAGGAGACCCAGCGAAAAATCAAACTCCCAGCCTCTGGCTCTGCAGTCAGATACCTACACCACTAACATTAAGCCTGCATAAATGTGCTGGGCATTCTGCTCAGGCAACAAGGGTAGTGCAATCTGATTGTGCAATTAATCAAACAGTTTCGCATTTTGACTTCTGACAGTGCAGTTAGCATCATTGCCTGAATAATGTTGAGTTATGCAAGCATAGTTACTCAACAGGATTGCAGCCAAAATTTTACAAGCATTGGATTTTAGCAGTTCATAAATGTCCTATCCCAGAACCAGTTTTCATCAAACTATCAGCCTTTCAGTGGTAATAAAGAGGATTATCTTTCACTCCTTGCCCTATGCTTCAATTATACGGATCTTCAATAGATACAGCAAACTTACATTGCCTTTGTCCAGACTGTACGTATGCTGATATCTATCTAAAAGCTGTTTATTTTGTCCATTAACACCTAAAATAATTTAAATCAATTGGAGGTAGAATTCAGAAATGTTTCCGTGCAATACAGGAAAAGTATGTAAATAGTGTTGCTTGGTACAAACTGCATGCAGATGAATATATTTTGCCAAATATCATTTGCATCTCAGATCCATGTATGTATACCCAGAAGTAAGTCTCCTTATGTTAAACAGGGCATACATTGAGATTTACAAAAGACTGGAGATTTAACTTTCTGTTTCTTAGTAGAGCACTTGACATGTCACTGATGCCTGGTTTTCACCAACAAGAAATACTGAGCACAGGGAATATAATACCCATATTGAAAATATGGGTGGGAATTCACATAACCGGATGCTCTTCTGTTTCAAAGAAGAAAATGCTATCATTTCATATTTTGGCTCTCCCCTGGGTAACAGCAGCATCCTGTTGGCTGATCTTCCACTATGGAAGTAGATTGCTTTCCATATGAAAGTAGAAACATTTGAGAGTGAATAGGTCTAGTTGAGTCTTTTTCTTAACATGGTACTTTTTCTGGCAGTATGAATCTTACATACACACAGATACACCAAGGTAAATTGTTCTACTTTGTGATTTCCAACCTTCAGGGAATGCCTAGATAGGTTTTACCACTTGATCTATTTGGGGAAAATGTTGTAGCTCTTCTTCCAGAGCACATGCTTTGCATACAATATGCTGGGCTCAACTCATACCATCTCCAGGTTGGTCTGAGAAATGCTCCTGTCAGTTTTGAACAGCCATGATGAATTTGATGCAAGCTAGCTTCCTAATGTCCAGTTTTGAGTTCACAGGGATTAACAGGACTTAACATAAAGGTGTTAAGTATAGATTTCAAATTTGCAAGCTCAATAGCTTAAATACCCACATATCTGTTTACATAAGATTTGCATCACCAGATGCACAACATACTCTGATCCTGATTTTTTTTCTTTGTACATAATAGGTATTGTCTTTTTAAAATTAGGAATGGGGAAAGCATCATCACCCCCTATTTAGCAGTTAGGAAACCATCCTATATTGAATGGATGGCTTGCTGGTGATCATGATTGGTTGATGATTCATTGAACAGAATCTAATGCCACCAATCTGTATTGACGTGCACAGAATTGCCCTTCAGAACCACAGCACTAAACCACAAAAGCCCAACATAAATGCCTGCTTTATTAGTACATGTTGTCAGAAATTGGTATTTGTGCTTGTGTGTGTGTTAGAAATTGAAAGGCCTAGAAAAGCTGCAATAAAAATACCTCTGCATACATCTAGGACTCAGTTAATGTAGAAAATAAGAACCATTATAATAATTTACCATTTGTCTTCATCAGTTACTTAAGTGACTTTGGCAACAGAGGCTAGGCGATCCCTACCCATCCTCTCTCAGTGCCATCTGTTACCTGAATCCATGGCCATCTGTCATTTTCTGCTGCAGTCCAAGCATTTACAAGACCCTTCTTGTTAAGTCGTGCATAGTAGGGATACCATTTCTGGAGCCCAAAAAGTGCCCGATGCGTAGATGATGCTGTGATCTGTTGGTTTGAAATGATTCCTCCTTCAATTCCCAATGGCCCAGAGCATTCTGAAAAGGGAGTGGAAAAAAAATAACATCAAAAGAATGATGAATACTGGAAGAGATTTAAAAGTGGTAAAAGCTATTTTTGATACATATTTTTGTGAGGAGGAAGAAAAAGAGGAAAACTAGGATGAGTTTTCCTAAGTTAAATGTCAGCCGTCTGAAAGCATTAATGAGCTTCAGGTTTCTCTCACTGTTAAGCAAACATACTATGGCAAAACCAGTCATATTGCTTGGAAATGTCCAGTTGCATAGTAGATGAATTACCCAAGTACCACATGCCTAGGAAGGTTTTCATTTTCCTCTGTGAAAGTGGGGAGGGTGGGACACAAAACAGTCTGGATGTGAAGGGTAGGCCCTAGACTGTATAATGCTTTGGATATTTACCTCCAGCTTTAAAAATAAACCATGCTATTTGCTGTATCCATATCCTTGGTATTTTATCTTTTGCACTGCTCCTCTGAATGCCATTCAGTAATCAGTTAATGGCAGCAGAATTCCAATTATTGCATATCCTGGACACTATCAAGATTTAAAATGTAACAAACTATAGCTGTAAAAACAAAAGTTTCCCATTTGTGCTTGTACCAAAAAGTATCCTAGAAATATCCTTTCATTATTCTGCTTTTATTCGTTCTCAGGGACCAAGCAGACATTTCACAGGAAATCTGTGATCATGTCCTTTCAAAACAAAACAAACAAAACTCAGGTTTTGATTGAGGCACTGCCTGGGGGAAAGGACTATGGGTATAGTTTAATATTGCAGAGTTTTTATCTAATGCCTCTATTTAGTAACTTACTGAGCCAAAGAAATTTATGAGTCAAAGAGAGCTATGTTTAAAGGCCACCCAAATGCAAGCAAATCTGTTCCAGCCAGCACATCCAATTAAATGAGAAATCATAGACTTTAACTCTTCAGTTCTGTTCAGGACTTTGGATTTCAGACAGCTTATGTGTCAATGCAGAGGTTTGTGTGAATTCCTGGCTTCCTATATTAAATCCATAAACCATTATATTTCAATAGAGTAGCAGAAAAACAGGTTTTAATTTTTTATCAGCAACTTCACAATTCTGTTCTGCAGGTTCCGTCAAATGAAATGGTGCTCTCCAAGCATCATAAACCAGTTAGAACAAAATACTTGGATTTAAAATATGATTCTCATGTTTAGGTTAATGAGAAAAACTGCCTTTTGTTTACATACTTTTGCTTAAGCTAACAGATGGTTACTTCATCTACCACCTGGACCTGGAAGATACCCACCTCACTGCACCTCCTGCCACTAAAGGTGTATTTGGAGCATAAGTAGACCACAGACAACTGCATATGAGCTGCAGCTGCTCCCCCTGCCAGCTCTCCAACATCTCCCCAGAATTGTTTAAACAAAGGGGAAAATGGATGCTGAGAAAGTCCCCTTGTGTCCTATGTGAAGGGCAATTTTGCTATGTTCTTCACAGCTCTCTTGAGCTGCTTCTAACATAGAAAAGAACATTGTTGATTATTGTTTAGGTTGTTCATAGAATGACATCTGAGACATCATAAAAAGCAGGCAAAAGTTTGCACAATTCTTGTCTAAGCTAATTTATCTGTATAGGTGCAAATTTAGAAACAATCAGTATTATCTAAATTGAAACCCATTTTCACATACTGGCAAAAAGTGTAAAGGAGTGAGTTGTGTGCTTGCCTAAACTACTGCCCAGATACTCACTGCTAATGAGCAAATTTAAAGTCCCTGATTCCTCCTCCTTTGTTCTAGAGTTTTTCTGGTAGATGATACTTTCAAACAGAAGACTATCCTCTGCACAGCACAGTATATGGAGACCCTATGTGCACTTCAGACAATAGCACTCAGTGAATGGCATGAGATTGACACATATGCACTAAAAAGATAGTGAAAAAAACTCTTTAGAGCAGACTTCCCCAAACCTTCCAGAACTTGTGGACTACAACTCAACATCATAACTCTGCCATCATGACCAATAGCCATACTAATTATGGATGATAGAAGTTGTAGTCCAACACATCTGGAAAATGCCAGGTTGGGCAAGGCTGCTTTAGAGCAGCCATTCTTAACCTTCCATTGGTCTCAGCCAGAAACACAATATGAAAGAAATTTAGGCCAAATCAGGACTGTGCAAATCACATATCAAACCTTATAAGGTGGTACTGTATGTGAAGAATTGCTTCCAGTCTGTGGCCCTCTTCAAATATGCCATCCCACCCCCCACCCCCACCCCCGGGGAGGCATATGTCCATTATTGAGAATTACTGTTTTAGAGTACAGAGTTATGTTTTCAAGTTAGATCATGAAAACATAGACAAAATATATATCAGACATACTTCAGATTATACATATCCCTGGATGAATCACATTTCGATATTAATGAAAACTCTTATCCCTTGACTCTCAGCAGTTAGAAAAGTTATTATAAAGGGATTTTGCCTTTACTTTAATGAAGCCAAAACTTCATGTTTGAACAAAATTCAAAATCTTGCTTTCAGTTCCACCATTGTGTGGGGCGGGGAGTTTCTGGGAGCAACAGAGAGCAACAGTGGGCAAAGAAAGGGAGAACAAAGGATTTAGGGTGAGCTTATTTGGGGTGCTACATCCATTCATGAACACCATCATCTTTCCAAAGTGATTTACAAACACTGCATTTGAGAAGCTGTGGAGATAATCTTTCATTCCACAAGATGGGCTTGGAATAAAATACTACTGGGAGCTAGTTATAGCAGCTTCATGGTGTCAGTTTTTTATCTGCCTTTCGCTCTGAGACACAACTATTTCTCCTCCCAAGATAATATAGTGTGAGATCTCAACAGATTGATTCATTCTGCTTTTGGGCACACTTGAATATATTATTGAAGGAAGGCAAACATTTTAAAAATATAGGAAAATTGCTGACAGGTCAAAACTAATGCCTAACATGGAAAAAAGAAATGTCAGCTATGGATGAATGGCAAAGAAGTATGCACCAGAAATTTCTGATATGTAGAATTATGGATTGCAGGAGATTGTGGGAAGGGACCATGTCCAACAAAGAATCACTCCAATATTGGCATCCCTTTGGAATAGACAGATGGACGTAACGTGAGGTTCTCTAAGCAGAGTTTAATTTATTGTTGGACATATTTGTTTTTGCAACCTCTGATGATTCTCAAATTATGCTTGATCTTCAATCTTTTTTCTTTTTAATGTTTGTTGGATAAGCTCTTTGCATGCAAGTTTATAGGGAAAAACAGATGTTATCTTTCCTAATTAGAAGGTGATATTTCTCTTCCCAAGGATGGAATAAACATAACTTTGTAACTGTATAACTAGACTTCCCAGCAAAACTTGAGGGTAGTTCCTAATGACCAATCACAAAAAACAAACAAACAAACAAACAACAAAAAACCCAGCAGGCTCATTTACTTAGGAGCAACCCTCTTAATGTTGTGCTATCATCAGTTGCAGTTCTTATTCTCTACTTCTCAATTATATTAATGAAGTAATACATAAAGATAACATTATTATTTTTGAAGCTTAAGAACAGCATGTCAAAAGTTTTCTTCCCCCTTAGTATTAATATGTCCAAACATTTCATATATAATTTGAATCAAGCTTTTAATCAAGGAGGGGAAAAAAAGGTTATTTGCTGCTAAAACTAATAGCCAAAATCCTGTTAAATGAATTACGCCTGCCTTAAGTGTGATGACATCACTGGTTGTAGGAGATTGCTGATAACTGAAAAGTTCCTGCTTTTATTTCAGGGCTGTGATCACAACCAATCCATTATGGCCAGTAACATTATCTAGAAGAGAGAGATTGCATATAAATATAAAGTTCCAGCTTTGGTCCAAGGGGGTTACCCAATTTGCACACAATGAGATTGACTGTGGGCAAGCTGCTGGTGACTCGGGGAAACCCCAAGACTGAAGCAGGAATTTTTAAAACTACAAACAATCTCCTTTGCAATCACAGGCACAATCTAATAGAATTCTGACCATTATAAGACAAAGGTCCCCTCTAGAGTGGGACCACCTGCAATTTAAAGCAGAAACTCATTGAAGATATCCCCCCCCCCCAAAGTAAGCACATTCAGACAGGAGTCCAATCCCCTCCAGTAATGGGAAAGGAGGCTAAAGGAACTCATAATGTGTCCTGGAAGAAACCATGTGTGCTGAAAGGTAACATTTGAATTGCCCTCTGTCACTGGAATTAGTTGAAAAACATTTCAAAGGAGAAAGGTCCATGGTCCTCCTGTTTGTTTACCTGAGGAATGGTTCAAAGCAGGTTTCAATATGTATGATACATTTCTGGGAAAGTTCCTTCCTGCCCAGAGGATATGGCAATCAGTACTAAAAGATTAATCCCCATTAAGAAGGCAATCCATTAGCCTGAGAGACACTTCAAAGGATTAGCTGCAATGATGGGTACTTGAGACATCTTTAACATCAGGCTTTGTTCTCTATAAAGAAGCCTGAGAAATACAGGACAGGGAGAATGCAGCCTCCTGAAACCAGGGAGTAGACTCCTTCTCTCTTGAATGGGTCTGCCAAGACAAGAGGAGACTTCATATAGGAATAATACCCTGATGTTGGGAAAGTGTTAGGGCAAGAGAAGGGGAAGACGGAGGATGAGATGGTTGGACAGTGTCATCGAAGCTACCAGCATGAATTTGACCAAATTCCAGGAGGCAGTGGAAGACAGGAGGGCCTGGCATGCCTGGGTCATGAAGAGTCAGACACGACTTAACAGCTAAACAACAACAAGAAGAGCTAGTTTAGAGGGACTTTCTTATTTTGTTGTGAACCACCCTGAGTGGCCTTAGTAGCCAGATGGGGAAGTGTATCGATTGAATAAATAATAATTATTATTTGTAACTTCTTTGAAAAGATCTAAGATTGATCTTGCTGCTTGCTGTGACTTGATTTTATGCAGACAAGAATCTTTTGAGTAACCTGACCTTTTTGCTTGTAACCACTTAATCCTTTTTGATCTCCCCTTTTTCTTTTAAATAAAATC